CAATGAAATCCTACACAGAGAACATGATTGTAAAAACTAGGGTTTTCTCCTCTTGTGCTAGCAAGAATGAAAATCTTTACAAAATTGTAAACCTTAGTTGTTTATATATAAGCCCAAACGGGCTTGGCTTGTTTTCTGACCCCCGTCCAATATTTAACTAATCCAATTAATTAATTCGAGCCTATAAATAAGCAACTCAATTAATTAATTTATCCAACGTTTGTAAAATTAATTAATTGATAATTCATAATATTTCAGTTCTCTTTTTGTGTGCAACCCATCTGGTTCTCAATCACGATGTCTAACGATGTGAATTATTATTTTGATCTAATCAAAATTAATAAATTAAAACACCTTTTTAATTTATCACCAATTCAAATTCACTATCCTAAATTGACATCAAGCAATATGTCAGGATAATACATGTGACAGAAAATGTCACGTGGTATGACAAAACCCAACTCATTCGTTTATCATGAAACTATAATATTTTCATCAATATGTTTCGATCGATTACGAGATATGGAAGTGTGTCAATCCCATTATTGATCATATATTTCATTCTACTATTAAGTCAATACAAGTTGAAAACTCTTTTTCGACTTATAAGTATACCTTGGCCAAGAATTTCATTATCCACTTAACTTAACGAAACGTAGATCATAATCTCTTACTATCTAAGAGTGACGAATCCTTTATTGGACATTCACAACCTTCATATGATTCTTGACATATTCAAACGACGCCATATTAGCGACCCTCGGTTGAGCAACATCCAACATCGTCAAAGTATGATTGTCCTCATATAAGGTACCATGATGACCTCAAGTCAAAGGACCAATTCCACTACCGAAAGTTAGAAATTAACCACTGACACTCAGATAGTAATCCATGTGAAATCTCTCAGCGGATCTCCGATGTTTTGTTCTATAACAAAACATCTACGTGTTCATTTAAGTGTCACCACACTTTAACTTGTAAGATCGGCTATTTACTTCGTAAGTAAGAAATGACACACGTAATGGTCTATCCATAATAACGATATTTGTATCTCGTTATTATTTACAACCACAGACGTTTTAAGATTCAATCATATGCAATTTGTATCTCACAATCATAACTCCTTATGATTAACAAATTACTAAGATTTGAATCTATGGACTTCATTATTTAATTCAATTGAATATTAATTAATCAAATAATAGATCTGTCATAAATTCATCAACTATATATTAAAAGTGTTTACGTCCAAAGTCGATTGGAGCTAGGGCATAACACTTACAGAAGCACCTGAAACTGTGTGTAGTGGTGTTAAAGCCACATCGGCCACCATTTCTCTCACATATACTGCAGTTACTGGCTTTCCAATTCAGTTCGAACCCTCTCGTCAAAATATCCTCATACTCTCCAACTACAATCCTCTCTTCATCTCCATGCACTTCCACCGGCACCACCACAATTTTTTCGCAATTTTCCAATCCCTTCTGCAAATTTTCATCCTCATCCCAAATTGCTAAATCCAAATTATCTCTATTCTCACCCTGACAGTCAACCTTGTATCACAAAAGATCCTTAGGCAACTACTCTGTACAATCGGACAACAAATAAAGCCCTTCTACATTAACATAATGAAACTCCTGGATAGGAAGTGTCGTATTTCAGATTTGTGGAAGGCATCTACCTCTTTAAGTATTAGATATAGCAGCATTATAAACACAAAAAGAATAACTATGATAGGAAATGCTTTCAACTATATAGTCATTTTTTGGTAAACAAATCGTTGGATAGCCATGTTTGCCACAGTCGAGACGAAATCCGAGGTAACCGCAGTAGAATTCTTGTAAACCTTCAATATAGAATGGAAATGTAATGTTTGGGATATTGCCATAGTTCCTGGGCACGCAAGTTTTGTAATGAAAATCAGCAGGAGAAGATTTTCTTGATAAAAGGATAAAACAGAATATACAAAGATATGCAGATGTCAAGAAAGTGGACTTCATTTTATGAATCTTGAACAAGTGGCAATTAAAGAAAACTGTATATTTCATATTATGGTGAAATGAATTCAAAGCTTTAGACCCAATTGTTTCGCTGTCTGTGTCTGCCTATCAATGACTATTGAACTAAGAAAGTCAAACGTATTGACCAATCTGTCTGTATAGAGAATTGTTGAAAATTTGCACGAGGATTTGCAATAATGCTACTCGAACAAGGATTGGAAACAGGGTCTTTGATTTAAGCACCTGTGTGGATGTTTTTTTTTTAAACTATTCGATGATATTGCATCACGTGTCTACCTATTTTTAAAATCTGTCATTATTGCATAAACTCATTTCACTGGTTGTTGCCTTGTGGAATATGCAAGAAAGAGGTCACAGATTCAATCTATGCATGTGATGCCCTTAGTCAATCTATGCAAGTAGATGGAAAAAATTAAACTGGTCCATGATTCTACCAATTACATTTGTGGACTCTATTGGAAGCAGTCCACTGCTGATGGGATGTTTCTACTGTAGTCCATGGGATACTTCACTCCCTTTATTTTGCGCAATTACTACGTTAGACTGAACATTACGACGAACTCGGACTTGGTTGCTATCTTTATTGGATATAATTTCTGCGTTAAGAAAGGAGTATTTAAAAGATCTTAAAAATTGAACGCCCTTTAAAATTGCCTGAATTGGTGTTGAAAATGTTATAATTCTCTATATAGAATCTCAATGACATATCGTGATTCAAGTAGATCCTACCATCCACTTTTTTCTCTCTCTTATCATCTCAAATGTTGAAATGTTGAGATTTGAGTGATTCGAGTCCGGTGTCATGATTAAGTAGTAAGTTCTACCACATGTTTGTTATAAAACCATCTTCCTAAAGTTTTTCTCCTAAGGTATGTGGCTGAGGGGTTGTTTTACAAAGATTATGATAATAAAAAAAAAAAGATTTCGATAAATGTTAATGAAATATATAGTTGAAAAGTTGATAAATGTTGTGGATACTGCTCTAGAATGTTGGCAAAAACACAAATTAGGAGGACGTGAAGGAATAACTTGCAGTCATTGACAAGTACAAATTGTGCACTTATTTAAGCCATATTTCTAAACTTTTACATCTTCAAATTATTAATTTCTATTTAACTTAGGCTAATCTTTGTGTTTTTAGTGATGCACTATTTGGAAAGGGATGAAGGATTAATTAGCTATTCGATGTAAAGTTCCGAGATCAAATTTCATACTTTGAAAGTGGAGGACTTGAAAAGAATAATAAATTAAATGGGCCTAAGTTTTGGACTCAAATTCATTAACAATGAATTCCTAATTCAACATTCCAAAGTGGGCTGGAATTATTTTGTTGGGTAATTTTCGTATATAACCCAATGAAAAAAACAAAATTCCAGAATTACTATTACATCTTTCTTATTCTCAAATTGCTTCATATTGTAATTACATATTTCAAAACTATTATTTTAACGTGATAGCACTATTTTTAGTAATTAACTCCAATTAATATACAAAACAATTTATTACAATTCCTCAAAAGTCATCAACTAAATATCATATTCAATACTTTCAAAAAAAGATCATATTTAATTGACAGTAATCACCTCCATGATTCACGGAGTCAAAATACATTACCGTCTATACTTTTTTTTTCTCCCTTTTTTACTTGATTTGATATGAGCATATTAGTGTCGTATCTCTATTTTTTATAGTTTGGATGTATTATTTCAAAATCTATGATTTTAATTTTCTTTGGTACATTCCATTATTTGATTACAATTGACTCGAACTTTTCATACATTACATGTTAATACATTGTACAATCAGGTATTTGAGGAATTGTATATATAAAAACTTTCTTTGTACAATTTGAAATGTAGTTTCAAACATGTGTCACATGTTGTATGGGCTGATACATTTATATGTATTATTTATGATTGTATACAATTAAAAAATCTAAATATAATATTGGTTACTTTCAATCTATTACTCTAAATACAGCAATATAACATGAACTATGATATATGAAAAATTAGTGTATACCATGATATGTTTATCTCGGTATTTTGAAATTTCACATGATTTATTATCAGGTGTTGGGCTGCTGTAAATAATGTATAACGTGATAAAAAGTTTAAGCCGTCTCTTTTATCCTTATGCGATTGCCATTACGATTATATGTAACACATATCTTATGAAATTTTTTTTGTAACAAATGTAATATAATGGACTATGTGATATATGGGGGAAAAAAAAAAGACAAGAAGTAAATGGTAATTCGAAATCTGTAGTTGCATTCTGTTATATATGATACACTATCTATTAAAATGTTTGTTGCTATAAATGTTACATAGTATGTGACATTGCTATTGATGATTTTTCACAATTGATTGACTATTATATAATTTATATAGTATTATGGTGCAATGTTCGATGGTGTATATATGCTACAATGTCATTTAAATTTAGTGAAAAACTAGGTTAAATAACTAATTTATACGAAAACATTAGCTAAAATATATTCATGACCGAATTTTCATTTCAACAAAGCATAAGTAGATAGCAAATACGCAACATGTTTCAAACACAAAAAGAACGTCTTTGGATGAATGAAATCATTCGTACAATAGACACATATTTCTTATTTTGTTATGTTTCCAAGTACTAGAGAATGGCCAGCAGCCTCCATAAATACAATCGAATTTTAAACTGTAATTTAAGATCTAGACACAATATGAGAGCATTCTCAAGGTACTTATTGTCCTCATTCTAAAACAATATGGAAATCATGTGCATTGGCCAAATTTTAACATATAGGAAACGGACTGAAAAATTTAAATAAAATGAATTATTGGTTTCAAATCTGTGAATGAATAATCTAATTTGATGTTTCAATAACAGCGCATAATTCCAATGAACCAAATTATAGTTAGTAAACAAAACTATTTCCCAACCATCTAAAACAACTTTGTTCCTACTAATTTCAGGATTAGATCAATGGAAAAAGATAAAGAGGCGGACCCTTTAGTTACCTTTAAATCAACCTTTCTGTTTTCAAAAGAAGTTACAGTAAAACAAATCATTGGTTAATAAATTCATCAGAAACAACGAATTTAGATTTTGCTAAACCATCATCATCAACTCGAACAGGGAGACCGAGATCTTATCATTTGAAACATGTTCTACTCAACTACTGCTGCCTCTGCCAGTAATCAAAGTTATCTGTCCAGTAATCAAAACATGTTCTACTCAACTACCGAGATCTTATTTCCTATTGTAATCAAAATTATCTGTCCAGATTCTCTCGTCGAAATCGCCCACCAAGACACTGAATTGATCATTCATAGATCTCCAGCAGAAATTTATTCCATGCCTGATTTCATTGTGTTTTCTGGTGCAATTTCGCAAAAATCAGATAGTTCATTATGTATATATTCAAATAAAAGAGATCATACACACACAGAGAAATGGAGATTAATTTTGTAAAGATGGATTCTCCTATTTCGTTACCAAATACGTTGTACACATATATTTCTTGCAAATCATCTTCTATATTGTAATCAAATCCCAAAAGAGCAATTTAACATATCTGGTGCGAAATAGAAATCGAAAACCAGCAACCACTTCTCCAAAAATGTATCTTTAACTATATTTGTAGAAGATGATGTTTCAAAATATAATCTGTGCCAAAAATTCATGTTTGATTTTGGAAGTCATGAAATGCAGAACGTGAATTTGGCTGAATTCAAATTGGATTAGTTACAACATGGCTTTCGGGTTATATTTTGGGAAGTTAGTATAATTAAAAATAATTAATATTATAATTACTATTTTTTAAAAACATTCCCATCACATAGTAAATTGCGAATTAGTTTTCTGTGCTGAGGCATATATGAATTTTTCCCATTTTTATAACTATACAACACACACAATTGGGCCTTGGATTGGAATAAAAAAATAATAGGGCTGCCAAAATATATATGGCTATATTCCACACGCATTCGAGGGGAGAAAATAGGGAAAAAAATTCATAATCCTATTATTTTCATCAATTCAAAAATATAATTTAAAAATTCAAAATTCAGGTATATATTTAATCAATTAAAAATATTTATTAAATAAATATAATAAAGTCACAGTTATACAATTAATGGTTACAAATTCATAATTATATGTCATGGATTTATTTACTGATCACGTATCCTTAAATTAATTTGTCATGAATTATTTCGTGGTATCAAATCAAAAATTTTGTAGATCACAGATTATTTTGATGTCACGGATCATTCAAATTATTGGTCACAATTTATCTATGAATCACATATTTTCACATTTATTAGTCACGGATTATTTTTTTAAAGATCACAGGCCAAATCATTGGTCACACACACCAAAAACTCCACCCGCAATCCCATTTCATTACTAATACTTGGTCATAGAGCAACCAAATAGTTGGTCACAGTCACCATTACACCTCGTCCTCAACCAACAACAACAAAAATGATCACCAAAATACAATGCCCGACTGCACCACACCACCACACAAGTTGTCTAATGACTTCTATGTACTAAATCAAAAAATCAACATTACTTTCCCCACAAAGGAAGACTAGAAGGTACTAGGCAATAGGTAGCAATGGCACATGCCTACCACCAGTATCACTATAATTACACTATACCCCACTTGATGCTGCCCTTTTGAATGGTGAAAAGGAAAAACTAGCTCTGAAGATACATTAACATTGTTGCTTCCATTTTTAAAAACTTAATCCAGTAGCAATATCCCATATATCAAAAGGGAAAAAAAAAAAATTGAAAAAAAAAAAAAAAAAAAAACACAATTAAAATCCCCTTTTGTCATATTGACACAAATGGGGTTTTGGTAATTAATGTTTTAAAATTTTCATAATCCTGATTCTAAACAATGAATTCAAGCTTATGGCGCCAAATGCAGCCTTACTCTTCCCCAAAATCAAATCTAATTAGTAAATTGTATAAAATATAGCTTCAGAAACAAGAATTGAACCTTTGGTTTTGCAGGAAAATGAAAGTAAGTACACGCAAGCAATATTTGTGCCTCTTTGCCTTCCTTTTGTTTCAGCAGTTTTGAGAAAATCTTGGAGACAAAAACCCTTTAATCCATACTCAAAAAACACGCAAAGAAAGTGAGACTATGAGAGAAAGATTAAGGAAAAGATGGCAGAGGAAGGCCAAACGCGTAGCACACCACACCATATTATCACGACGCTATCTCTGCCTTACACCATAGAGAGAAAATAAACAGAATAGTCATCGGTAAGGTTGCTTTAGAGCTTCACCACCATCGTGAATCACCACTGCCGATGGCGACAGTGGTGTTTTGTGGTAGAGAGAAGGGAGAAAATATAGATGGTAGAGAGAGAAATGAATTATGGTTGAAATTGAATTTGAGTGAAATATTTAATATTTAAATTATTAAATCAATACCTGATTTCTGAATAATGAAACTTCAACCCTGATTTTTGAACTGTGATGTTTAAAGCCTTGATATCATGTAATTTCCTCAGGTAGCAGCTTGGAGCTTCTTGGGGAAAAAAATTTAGGCTGTTGAGGAAAGAATAAAAAAATAAGGTAGCAGCTTGGAAGAAAATAAAAGTTGGCGTTGGAAGTCATGCATTGCAGGCTGTGGGAAGAAAGGAAGAGAAGAATTCTTGGGCCTTTGCTTTGAAATTCAATCTTAGTGGCAGCCAACTTGAAGGAAGAAAAATGGGAGAATAAGGCCATCTCCAACCCAGCACCAAATTTTGCACCATTTTGCACTAAACCTTGTGTTTTTATCTTAATTCTTGCTGTGTGATTCCATTAATATGCCTATTTATATTGTTTTAATATTTGCGCACCATTAGGACAATAAGCTGTTTGTTCGTAGTGTTGAAAAACTCACTATAAGTAAAACATTATTATTGGGACACACCGGTAATAAATGTTAGGAATAACATTTATAACGTGTGCGATCGTGAGTGATAATCCTAAATATCAATGCATGTTTGTCATATGAATTCGAACTAGAAATAAGATCGTCTCGTGGTAACCATGGGTTTATTATATCTTGGGGAAGAATAATAAATAATAGTGAAATTATCGATCGTTACAATTGCATGAATTAAGATAATTATTACTGGTTGAAAATTAGAACTATGAATTGATTAATGACGTCGAAAATCCAATACGTTCACTTATTTGAATTTTAAACCAACTTTCATTGATTTTGCAAGTTTTAGTTACAGAAATTAGTTAGTTATTCATCAATCGTCTTTTTGTTCCAAACACGAATTTAAATATATCAAATGTACAATAATTGATCATTATTCCTTGTGGGACGATAACTCTCTCATTACGATTATTGCTTATACAATGAACTCGTACGTTTGCGGGATTTTGATGAACAATCATCCATGTTCAAAGGTCAATAGTACCTTTTACACATCGAAATTGATTACTTGTGTCAGATGTATAGTGTCTTCCCTCTCGATGGCAATCAATACAATCATCAAACAACTTTCATTCAAGATTATAGTCTGTGCCTAATCGTTCGAACAAGCCATCTGAATCTCATATAGGCTCAAGTGAAAAAATGTATAAAACAAGCACAATGTGTTAGACATTCCATATAGAGGGATTCATTCAAAAATTCCATAGATTGGACCATATAATACTGCATATTGGCAAATCTAGATTTTGCGCATACCGTCTTTCCACTTTCCCTTTAAAAGCGATGTCCAACTTTGGATAATATGTTTCCGAAGATTTCATGATTATTCACGATATTGGATACAAAAAAGAAAAAAAATCACGTAAAATTTGATTACCTAGACATTAACACGTTTACAAGGAAAAGAGAAGAAAACAGATAGGGATACAATGTATAAGTTTAATTATTCAGGAGTATAGTTTGATCTTTTTAAATTCAATCGGTTCCACAGTAATTCATTAATTAGTGTACGTTATTAATTTTTAAAACATTTATTAAAACATTATTTAATGTATATTTGCTAATGTCATTACATATTTGAAGGTAGTAGAAAATTGCCATCATGCTAATTTTAGTTTCATAATGTCCTCTTAAATTTATAAGAGAGAAAAACTTCAAAGAAAAAATGTATCTTGTTCTTTTGATCTTTTCTTGATTTTTAGTTTTGAAGTAACAAGTTCTTGAAATCAAAATCTTTCGTAAGTTAAGAAAGTTGGAAGTTCATGATTTAAATTCGGACCAAGATTTGATTGTCGAGTTTGAATAAATTCTTATCTAAGTTTCTTGTTTGTATTTTACACGCGAACATATAGTAACAGTATCATAATCTTAAATTAAAGAAAATTTTAATATTCCAGGTAATTCTTGTTTAGCATTTTAACATTAACAATTTACAAATTTCTAGAGAACAAACAATGGAATTAATTGCTTCTATGCTTGGTCACTGGGAGCCACCAATCACTATAGGATCCCAGGAAGTTTTAATGGGGTCATTGCTCAACTTCATGAATATCAGAGAAAGTGAGTGATAACTCAAAAGTTGAAGGATGTGCTAATTCTCTTGGCTGTAAAAATGAGTAGGGTCTAGGTGGGATTTGCAGAGATTCAATGTGCCCTTCTAACATTTCTATAACCCTGCTCATTGCTGGTCTATTTGTGGGATTAGTTTGTATGCACCATAAGCCAACTATTAACATTGTCTTTATCCTCAAATGTTCATTTGCATTCACAATGAAGTTCAAATCAAGTTCAACATTCTGTTCTAGGTTCTTATATAACCAATTAGGAAAGTAATTTTCGCTTGAATGATCAACTCTGACATTAATATTTTTCGTCTGTCCAATTATTTCCAAAATCATCATACCATAGCTATAGACATCTGACTTGTGAGAAACATCTCCAATGTTTCTATAAACTATTTCCGGAGCTATATACCCTATTGTCCCTCTAGCCCCTAGTATTGACACTATATCGGACCTGTTGGGGCAAAGTCTCGCCAAGCCAAAATCCGATATTTTAGGGTTAAAGTCTTTATCCAGAAGAATATTGTGAGGTTTAATGTCAAAGTGCAAAATTCGTGTATTACATCCTTGGTGCAAGTATTCTATTCCATGAGCAATGCCAACTGCAATTTGAAACAATTTTTCCCATCCTAACTGACGTTCTGCTATAGAGCTATTGTGATTTATGAACTTCTCAAGAGATCCGTTGGGCATGAACTCGTAAATGAGAGCTCTTTTGGAACCCTCAAAGCAAAATCCCAACAGAGTGACAATGTTAACATGGGATGTTCTACTGATACTTGCAACGTCATTGATAAATTCTTCTCCATTGCCTTTCGATTCTTTCAAAATCTTTACTGCTACAAGACGACCGTCGGATAACTTTCCTCTATACACACTGGCAAAGCCCCCTTCTCCTAAGTTGTCACTGAATGAATTAGTCATTTTCTTAAGATCAAAGTAATTGTATCTTCTTGTTGTAAGATTCTCATTGTTTTTCAGAAAGAGTTCAATGTCCTTATCGTTTTGCGTCTTTCCCTTCAAATTCAACATGTACTTCCTCTTGTTGAAAGCGAATAAAATTATGGAGAAGAGAACTATCGCCACAGCTAAAATACCTATGGTGAAAAATGATATCAGTACTATTTATAAAGAAAAAAATACCTATGGTGAAAAATGATATCAGTACTATTTTCAATTTACTTCTTCCTGCAGTTGAAGTTAAAACACATGTTAGATGAAAAGAACTTTATAAAAATAGATGGGAACTTATTTTTCTTAGTATGCTCTCTTTTCAGCATATAAATTGTTATAGGGTATGATTCATGAACATGTGATTTCATACAGTAATGGAATAAATTTATCTGGTGTTAAGATTTTCTGTTGAATTGCCTGTTATAGAAAATCACTTAACCATTATAGATTACAATGTTAAAAGACAGAAATAAAAAATAAAAAAACCGACATAAATAAAATTGGCCTAGTTTCTTCTGGGTTGGACTATCGATTACAATGCTAAAAGACAAAGTGGATTGGACATAGACGTCTGGTGTGGATTGGACTTATTTACATCATAAAATTGGTTCAAAGAAAGTAGTGTACCCCTGGAGCCTTTTTATATAATGCTAACTTTGTCCCCTAGTGGTCCCACAGTCACATACTTGGATTCAAACTAGTTAGATGCATCTTTTGGGCTTGTGGCAATTCAAATTGAGAATAATAAATATTAAAGGTGTTCGGAAATTACAATTTCAAAATTAAGAAATATGTTATATGATTTTAAAAATTAGGTCACGATTAAAATTTATTAATTAAAATATAATAGTATTATACAATTTATGATCACAATTATGTACTAGTCACAATCGCATAATGCGCGATCACAAATTTTATAGTTCACAACTTATCTATCGATCATAAATTATTAAATTAATTAATTACATATTATTTTTTATCACAAATCACAAAATTCATATGTCACAACTTATTTAATGATCACATATTATCAAATTTAATTGGTCATAATCACCTAAATGACCAAATGACTGGTCTCAAACATGATGGTGATAATAACATACCTGCATCTGCACGTCGGCAACTCTGGCTATCGGGTCCTTCAGGGCAGAAGCAACGGAACTTGGAAATAGTGTCATTAAAGCCACATCGGCCGCCATTGCTCTCACATATACTGCAGCAACTGGATGACCGATAATTCAGTTCAAACCCTCTTCTCAAAATCTCCTCGTACTCTCCCACTACAATCCTCTCTTTATCTCCATGCACTTCCACCGGCGCCACCACATTTTTTTCACAATTTTCCAATCCCTTCTGCAAATTTTCATCCTTATCCAAAATTGCTAAATCCAAATTATCTCTATTCTCACCCTGACAGTCAACCTTGTATCGCGAAAGATCCTTAGACAACGGTTCAATACAATTGGACAACAAATAAAGACTTGTTACATTAACATAATGAAACTCTCTAATTGGAAGTGTCGTGTTCCTGATTTGTGGAAGGCATCTGCCATTTAAATTACTCAAAACAGCAGCATTATAAACACGAAAAGAACGACTAGCATAGGAAATGTTTTCAACTATATAGTCATTTTCTGTTGAATTAATCGTTGGATAGCCATGTTTGCCGCACTTGAGATGGAATCCGGGGTAACCGCAGTAGGATTCTTGCAAACCTTCAATATAGAATGGAAATTTAATGTTTGGGCCATTGCCACAATTCCTGGGCACGCATGCTTCGTACCGACAATCAGCAGCAGAAGATTTTTTTGATGAAGGATAAGATAGAATATACAAATATGTAAAGATGTCAAGAAAACTGTATATTTCATGTTTTGGTGGAATGAATTCCAAGCTAAGGTTGGTTGTCTGTGTCTTCCTTATTTATTTTAGGATAAAGAGATGTGTACAAACAAACACATTTGTACAAAATGTGTTCACACTCTCACAAAAAAGCGGCTCTTAAGCTTATAAAGGGTCATTTTACAATTAATCTATTTGTACAATGATATTGTACAACATTGTTGACAATGATACGTGTGACAAAAAAGTGTCGATTGATAAGATGAGTTGTTTTTTAAACTATTCAATGACAACATGTCATGTGTCATGTTGTTAACAATGTTGTCAAACTCAAATTCAAAACATGTTTGGTAGAGAATTTAATCCAATTAACATCAATGTTTTGATTTTTTTTTTCACTATTTCAACTGTCATTTTTGAATTCTTCTCTAACAAGTAAAATTAACTTTATCTTTAACGGTCAAAAAATCAAGCATTGCCCTTCATTTTAAAATAGTCGCAAGTATTGACCAATCCGTCAGTCCCGTGTCCATATACTGAAATTCTTGAATATTTATGCAAGGTTTTACTGGTTTTTCATTTTGCGTGTTGGAATATGCAAGAAAGAGGCCGCACTCAATTTATGCTCGTGTTCCATACATCAATTTGTATCTTTTGTGCAAGTGGATGGAAAAAATTAATCTGGTCCATGATTCTACCAATTACATTTGTGGACTATATTGCAAGCTGTCCATTGCTGATGGGATGTTTCTACAGTAGTCCATGCGATACTTCACACCCTTTATTTTGCTTAGTTACTACGTTAGACTGAATATTACGACGACCTCAGACTCGGTTGCTATCCTTTTTGGATATAACTTCTGAGTTAAGAAAGAAGTATTTAAAAGTTCTTAAAAATTGAACTCCTTTTGAAAGCTTGAAAGTTTAGCTGGTATTATGATTAACGTGTCTGAGTACCTAATTTGATTGTTGAAAATGTTATAATTCTCTATATAGAACCTCAACGACATACTGTCATCGGAGTGGATCCTACCATCTACTTCTCTCTCTCTTATCATCTCGAAAGTCAAAATGTCGTGATTTCAGTGATTCAAGCGCGAGATGTCATGATTAAATTGTAAGTTCTACCACATGAATGTTATAAAATCGTCTTACTAAAGTTTTTCTCCTAAAGTTTGCGGCTAAGGGGTTGTTTTACAAAGATTTTGATAATAAAAAAAAAATAATAATAAAAGATTTTGGTAAAAGTTAATGAAACTTAGGGTCCATTTGATTGCAAAGGTGAAATTTGGGTAGAAAGAAAACGAATTTTTGGGAATTGAATTGATGGGAAATTGTTTTCTTAGGAATTGTAAATTATTGTGTTTGATTAGTATAATTTTTCACGTGGAAAATGTTTAAATTAAAGTGTTTTTTATGTCCGTTTGATTTTGTTTTATATGAAAATTGTCAATTAAAAGGATAAAATTTATTGGTATTAGGAATTAAATTTGTTTCCATTGCCAAAAAAAAAAAAATCAAGAAAATCATCTATCTTTATATGTTCGTTTGGTTTTGTTTTACATGAAAATTGTCAATTAAAAAGAAATATTTTTTTACAATAAATCTTAGAATTTGTTTCCATTACCAACAAAAAAATCAAAAAACAAAAAAAAAAACAAAATGCTACAGTAACATGGAATTCCAATTCTCACCATTTTTGGTGAAAATTGGTTTTCCTTAAAAACCAAGAAAAAATCAATTCCCAAGACAAGCAAGAAAATGTAATTCCATTGAAATGAAATCCTATCAAACACCATAAAGTTGAAAAATGGAATTCTCCATGGAAAAAAACCACATATCAAACATACCCTTATAGTTAAAAGTCGATAAAGGTTGTGGATTACACGAAATAAATGATTAAAATTAAAGTTTGGCCAATTAAATCCTACTCTGAAATGTTGACAAAAACACAAACCACAAAGATGTGAAGGAATAACTCGCAATCATCCATGTTCAAAGGCCAATGGTACCTTTTACGCATTGAAATTGATTATTTGTGTCAGATGTACATTGCTTTTCCTCTCGGTGGCAATCAATACAATCATCTTACAGCTTTCAGTCTGAATTATAATATGTGCCTAATCGTTCGAACAAGTCAGTTGAATCTAATGTAGGCTGTAATTTTAGTGGCAAGTAAAAAAAAAAAAAAAAAAAACTATAAAGCAATCACAATGTTTATAGACATTCCATCTAGAGGGATTGATTCAAAAATTCCATAGATTGGACCGTAAAATACTGTAGCATATTGGCAACACATTGATCTAAATTTTGTGCATACCAAGTGTCTTTCCACTTCCCCTTTAAAAGCAATGTCCAATTTTGGCTAATATGTTTTCAAACATTTCATTGTTATTCACGATATTTGATGCCCAAAAAAATAAAATAAAATACTAATAAATTTAAAATTGGATTACCTAGACATTAACACGTTTACATAAGGAAAAGAGAAGAAAACCGAGAGGATACAAAGTACAAGTTTAATTCTTTGCGAGTATAGTTTGGTCTTTTTTAAATTCAATCGGCTCCACAGTAATTTATTAATTAGTG